AGATCTAGTCACCTATTTCTTACACGTCTCGTAAATCTTCAACGCAGACGAACAAACGCTAAGCAACGTTAACGTGCCTGCCACCAATTCGAACGTGAATAAAAATAAACCTATTCGATGTAGCTCGTCGAAACGAAGACGAGTTCAATCTCTACTGCAGTAATCGTGAAATCTTTTAACAAAATTTCCATCATGTTCTCATTTAACTTTTGTATAACCAACCAAGTACCAAGGTAGTTATTTCTATATTTCTTTTTAACAATCATTTATATTTTTGTGAAAGTATTACAAAACCACTTGGAATTCTTATGCTTGAGACACTATTAATACAAATTGAAGCTTCAATGGCTACCCAGGTATACAACAACCCAGGCTAGCGGCTCAGTTTTGTAAAGAAAGTTGGCGTTGCACACATTTACATCGGTATAAATTTCCAAAATAGAAATCGCAAAAGTCAAAGATTGAAAATGGTAGCCGGATCCACGCTAACCCAGCGAAGGGTTAAAACGCCATGGCACTTTGCGGAGGAAATGAATAAAAATTCGAAATATTGAAGCTTCAATAGCTACCCAGATACACAGCATCCAGCTAAGGGTTAAACATCGCGGCTCAATTTTCTAAAGGAAATTGCCTTTACACACGTTCACGTCAGTATAAATTTCCCAAATAAAAATTGCAAATGTTAAAAAAGATTCAAAGTGGTAGTCGCATTCACACTAATCCAGTCAAGGGTTAAAACGTCATAGCTCGACTCTGCGAAGGAAATTAAAACAAAATTGGAAATATTGAAGTTTCCATCAATGGCCACCCAGATACACAGCAACCCAGGCAAGGATTAAACATGGCGGTTCAATTTTGCAAAGGAAATTGCCTCTACAGACATTTGCGTCAATGTAAGTTTCCAAAATAAAAATCGCAAATAAAGATTCAAAGTGGTTGCCGGATCCACGTTAACCCAGCGAAGGGTTAAAACGCCACGGCAGTTTGCGGAGGAAGTTGAAAAGGACCGATTGGCCGGCAGCTTTTATTGTTCTCGTAGCCGGTGTACGATGTCCGTGACCCAAATCTCGTCGATGGCCAAACGGATAAATGCTTTCCTGTTCGACGGAACGGCCACGAAAGATGATACAAAATCGTGCCGGGACGAGCGAGTAGTCCCTTTGAATCGATATTCGCAATTAGAACGGACGTGCCTACCGGTTTTTACAGAATATCTAGGTCAAGTCTGTCTTTAGCTGTAAAATCGAGCGGCCGATCGTGTGGACCATGCGTGGCAACGTAATATCTTAATCAAGGCTTCAGTCTCAGGTGTTGCACCGGCCGAGATCGTATCCTTGAAGAAGGCGAGACCAGGCTTGCCGATAGAACGCACGATTTTACGACCTCAATCGAAAGATCGGCAAAGACGGAGAGAAAGAAAGGAGAAACGAACGATTATTTCATGCAGTAGTTTGAATAATGTATAAAATAACGATTGAGACAGGATAACGATGATAAGCTTGAAGCTTTCGTTGACATTTAACGATCCTAAACGATTCACCGATCGTTTCTCCGCCGGAATTCATTGAAAATCGAGTGTCTGTCACGGAGCGCTAGACAGAAGTGGAGGATCGATTCGTCGACGGATCGGAATCCTGACGAAATTCAGCCGAGAAAAGAAACGATCGTGGTAAGCGAAGGAAGTGTGCGTTCGCTCGGTTGTGTGCGCTCGCACCGTATTTTGTAATTTGAAAGGGAAACCACATTCTTTCACTGTGTATTATGATACGTGAAAGTTGGCAACTGTGCACACCGTCGAAGTGCACAGACGGTAGAAACAGAAAGGCAGAGAAAGAAGGAAAAACGAGAGACTTGAAGAGAGCAAGAGAGCGAGAGAGAGAGAGAGAGAGAGAGAAAGAGGTAAGAGGAAAGGAGAGAATGGCGAGGAGAGAGAAACAGAAAGAAAGAAAGAACGAGAGCCAGTCGCCAGTCGAAGGTATAGACTATATCGAAGGTCGACGAGTTGCCTTTTTATTAGCCGATTTTTGCGGGAATAGAGCAACGGCTCGTGCACGCTAACATATGGGGCCGATGCGTTCGTACACGTCAAAAGTTGACGGATCCTCGATCGCGGTAACGAGATCACCGCGATGAATCGATGTCCCTGCGAAAGCACCGTCCGTCGAACCGATCCCGATGGTCGGAATCGACGATCGGCCCGATTGCGCGATTTCTATTAAGCCGTTGCATATCGAGCGGGCGATTTCGAAACGTAAACAGTCTAACGAGATTTCATGACATAAAAGTATTTCAGAATGTCACCTATGGTGCATCAATTTGAAGCTCAAGCTTCTATAAAATGGACTACAAAAAGCCTCCGGTAATATTCGTAACAGGAAACGAATGGTTTCAAATGATAGCAAACAATAGACATTCCAAGATATTTGATAATGAGAATTATTGGTATTTGTACGGTTCTGATAAAACATTTTGATAAGAAGATGTATATCTCCAGATTGATTAAGCCTCGATCAATTTTTGAGTACTTTTTAATTAATTAGTATTATTTTTAACCGATGCTTTCGCGAATAAATCTGCCATTTCGTTCGGGGTGAATAAGAAACGATTTCACGAATTTGCTGTCGGACCACTTCGTACTTTTGAAACAACAAACGAGAACTTATGGTTCACTCGGTCACGAGCAACGACTGAGCGCCTTAATATGGCTCTTATCAAATTTATGATACTCGTCGAGATTAATGGATCGAGTTATTGCAAGTTTGTTTTTCGTCCTTTATTTTTTGGCTGACATTTGGATAAATGCGGAATAACGTACGCGTTGCAAGTCGAGGAACACTTTAGACATAGACAATCTGAACTATCAACGATATTAACAATTTTCAATCTACTGCAGCAATTTATTATTCAAAACAACCAGGATACATTATAATAGAATTTACCTACAATTTATAATTTTGCCACTTTTTAACTATTTCATTAAATTAAATTAATAATCCCTAGAAGCTATAATTTTTCCATTTTTTAATTATTTAATTTGATTGAATTAATAATGCCTAGAACCTATAATTTTTCCAGTTTTTAATTATTTAATTAAATTAAATTAATAATGCCTACAACTTATCATTTTTCCATTTTTTAATCATTTAATTAAATTAAATTAAATTAATAAAATCATACGTAGGTATGATCTTCTTTTATATTCTGTATTTTGCAATTATTTCACTAGCGCCAGGTACCAGTGACCCTCATGCCAGTCACCCTGTTAATAAGTTAACAAAACGCCGTTAATTGAATTTCTCGGCACGTGTCGGTGGCGAGCACGTCGAGCTGGTTGAGATTCAACAATCGTACGACCGCGACGATTTTATTATGCTGATTCACAACGAGCCCGTAAAATGACGTTTCCACAGAACGATGCAGCTCGGGTCAATATTGTTCTCCAGGTACACTGATTGGACGCCTGTAAAAATTTCCATCGACCAGTGACGTATTTACGACGCTTTCGAAACTTACAGCTGCGCTTTTATCTTATCGAGGAACAATTTTTTTCTGTCGTTTTACACGTGCCAAATTACACTGACAGTTTAAAGGTACCACTTATAACGTGAATATCTAACGCACTTGTCTAGTTGCGAAATAACGCGTTTGCAAAAAAAAAACGATGCACATTAGTTTTTTTATAAACACACAAATATCTACAGTCTAATAATGAAGAAGAAACGACTGGTATAATAATGAAATAACAGGATAGAAAAACTATGAAAACGGACTGTTAACGCTTTCTACGATTCAGTCTGAATTCCATTCTATCTGGATATTCGTGCCACACGAAACGGGATGCAATTGCTAGCGCAAAAGCGAGCAAAAGTTGCCGGCTGATACGCAATGCAGCGAAGGTGCAGTGGCATTTAACGGGTCTACCTCGTCCGTTCAGTCGAGTGCAGTCGCGCAGCTGTTGTCCAGGTAAAACGCATTAGCTGTGAAAAATGCGAAAGTTTACTTTATTAATATGGTAATGACAAGCCGTTTAAATAAAAACAACAAAAGAAAAAAAATGAATAAGAAATGTCTGAGTAATAGCATTGGTCCTTGAAATTCTTCGCAGGACAAATCCTTTTTGGAATCCATTGAAACAATGTATGTATGGCGATGCAGGTGAGTTTGATTAAATGTCAGATATCCTTTCGTTCTAACGCCCGAGGAAAGTTACATGTTTGTTTAATTTAATCGCACCGCTGATAAGAGGTAAATAAATTGAAACTCGAGTACATTTATGTCAAAGTGTATAAAATCAGTATAAAGTCATAAGACAAACGATTAAAGCACGTATTACACGATACAAAGTCGTAAAACATTAAACCATAAATTAAAAGAGTTTATTGGATCACTTTCGATACAGAAAGAGTGACCGACGTACACATCATTGATCTATAAAACTGATCTTTATGGTTTCACGCCAAGTCTGAACAAGTTCGACATCACTTACGGTTATACAGAGCCGTTTATGAGAAATTAGCTCTCATTAGAGTGCATTAAAACTGCATTCGAGATAAACTGTTAATAATCCTGAAAATTTTGAAGGGTTTAAAAGAATAATACTTCGATTTATGTTTTAATTATATTTTAATGAAATATTTGATGGAATGTAATTCGTAGCGTCGGCCATTAGTACCAACGTGGCGGCGAACGTGTTGAAGAGTCACGTGCTTTCGTTCTACCGTCCACCATACGAGTGGTACGCATGATTCCTACACACAAAAGGGTTGATAGGGTAGATTATTGTACAGAAGATGAAAAGTAATCAATGTAAAAGGAAAATAGATCTGATTGTGTGAGAATGTTCGCATTTTCCGCGTTGCCGGTGGCGCCTGGTTCCATCGCGACGACTAGGCCGGCAGCTTTCGGGCAAATTCGGGCAGACGCGCGGATTGCCTTCCGCGGTGGTGGGGGGAGTTACGCGGCGTTCGGGTCGAGTCGGGTGGGGCGACATCACGCCGGGACCGTGTAGCATGAGATCCTCGCAGTGTCGAATCCCGCCGGTCGTCTCGTTGTTCTTTTCCGTAATCGTTGTCGACTCCCTTCAATCGTCACCCTTGAACGCACGCACTGCCGAATACACGCGTGTGCGTCAACCGCTTCCGGTTTCCCCAAAACTGTGCGCGACACGAACAAACATTTCGATTCTCTCGCTCGATTTTTCTGCCTGCCCGACCACGTGACACGCTCTCGTACGTTACGGCACCGTACAATCATAAAAGTGTTAGTTCCGTGAGTTCCGTCGCGCGACAAGAACATTCCGAAGACAAGGTTCACAGTGAATCGATCGATCATCGTCCTTTTAACCTGTACTTACAAACAGTAGTTGTTCGTCTTTCTCTCGTGGAAAGAGTAAGAAGCGTAGTGAGAGACCGGTGGATTCAGATATCGTACGCAGTGAAGGTTGTCCCGATCATGGAGGAGATGAATCGTAACGTCGAGAACCGATTACCAGAACAACAAAAGGAAATGGAGATTCGTTCTGGGGACGTAACAAAGGACGAGCCGACACCGAGGAAGGAGACGAGCAAATCCGTCGTCGATCCCGGCCACGTTCTACCTCTGATGCAGGTAAGCTTACGTAACCTGACACGGTTGTGTGGGTCATATTAGCTCGCATGTCGTGTACCCACGATATTCTACCCATATAATGGGCGATCCGCACGCGTGACGCAGAGTGTGCGCCGATGCTCGTGCGTGTCGTTAACCTAAGAAATTAAAAGGGATTTAAGTAGTTCGAGCGTCTAATCGGACGCGGCTGATCTATCGAATCCTATGGAATCATGGCGAGCCAGCCGATAACGGACAATACGTATAACATACGTGCTTTTTTCAAAGATATCCAACAACGATTTTCGTTGTTCTGTTCGACTGCAATGCCGGTTCTAGAAACGTGTCGTATTTCAACGGTACGTGCAGAATCGTATCACGGTCGGTAATGCCGAGAAATGCTAGCGGAAATCATTGAATTTATATGGAACGACACTTATGAAATTAGCATAACGGGTGTCCAGACATGATCCAGGGTGTTGGCCAATCACTGTCCTGGAATGTATTAATTTGCCGGTTAGAAACTTTGCTGCTTGAGAGGTGCCTGTCAGACACGTGACCTTTTTTTCTTCTCCCCCCCATCGAAGACGTATGGCACGAATCGTTGCGTGTTTCCACGAAATACGAGCACTATCGTTTTACCGGATCGCTTTCGGTTTTGCGGTCAACTCGAATAAATTCATTTTCATGAAACAGATACAGGAACCCCTTTTCGAAAGGTCGAACGAAATATTGCGTTAACGGTGTTTCGCTGGTAAGACAATGGCGATATTAGCTAACTATGAAGCGTGCTTCCTTCTCGAAGCATTTTTAATGCTCCTATGAGCCCATTACATCCACCCACGCAACAACCGTTCTCCTATTGCTATTTCACTCGGAATGACGTCACTTCGGGCCGCCTGTCTCGATTCCAAAGGATCACTTCCGGAGCAATGGCACGAGTATCGATTGGCCGACACGCCTGAGACAAGATGCTGGCCGTGTAGGATGCGACATTGTTCTCCATTGATATTGAAATAAGGAAAAAGAACGTGTTTCACGCGTGGGATATATAATTGTGGGTTAGCGAGCGAATTTCAATGCGATAAGGCAACTATAAAAAGGAGTGATTATCTTTCGCAAGTTATATATTTTCGAGTTTCTATGAGTCGCGTTTCTATCATTTGAATAATTTTTCTGATAAATAACGAATAGCGTTCAGACACGAACACGTGGAAAAAATATAGATAATACTTATTTTATTGTATTCTTAGTGATTGTTAGTGTAATAGTGGATACAACCACTATGGCGGATGTGTTTTGCCGCTATGTCCGTTTTCAAAATGGCGGCCAGTGACGGCCATTAATTTTCAAATTGAAGCTTTTAGTTAACTGTTTATTAATTTTCATTTATAAAACGATACAAGTTTTTTTCTCTAGATAGGAATATGAGGTGCCGATGACCAATGACCCCCGTAACAGTTAACGCGTTAAACATTGCCATTTTGCGATAGTTCAACTCGGAAAACATTTAATTAACCATTTCGTGATACGCTTACATGTTTTCTGAATATTAATAACAATATTGGTAATAATAATTACTCGTTATCTCTGTGCGTGGTAATTTATATGAAGTCAAATCTGTTGTCCTATAAACGGCACGATAAATTTATTTATTCTTGTAAAAACAAATTATAAGTTCTTGTCGAGCACGACGCGTGAAGACAAACAAATTTATCCATCCTGTACTATTGAAAATAGAATCATAATACTGGGGGTCATATTTTTCTTCTGTTTCCTTTTTTTCATGTAAGGAATGTTCTTGCTGTAGGCATAGCTAGTCTAACGACGAATAACAGAACAGATTGAAATAGAAGGGATATTCTGTCATAGTTACTATCTGTACATAATAAGTGATAACCTTTTTCCCTGAAAAATCTCATCTCGTCTTCTCGTCGTCTAATGTCTGTGTATCTATTCTCGATGTTATTTTCTAGCCGAGAGTAAGTTTTTCTCGCTAATGATAACGATAACGTTCGGTTCTTAATCATTACCGTCTGGATCTCCTTAATTGTATTAAATATTCGAAAACATGTTTGGACTTCAGACTGCTTTGTATAGGGTGATTCGTGATAAAACGGCTGGCGATATTGCAAAAATAAAACGGGACTCTTTTTCATTTTCTTCTTTTTCTTTTTTTATTTTTTTCTTTTCTTTAAGGATCCGGTGCTATTTGAGAGTTAATTTATTTTTTGTCATTTCGAATTAATAATATTGTATATTGGAGCAGCAGTTTTCCAATGGGACACAAATCACATTTCTAGTAATTTAAATGAAATTAAATTTCTAGTGGAGTAAAATAAAAATGATATTGTTTAGAAATTTAATTGGAGCAGCAATGTTACAAAAAGGACAGAGATCAAATTTTTAATAAATTATAAAAAAATTAAATTTCTATTGGAGTAGAATAAAAATGGAATTTTTCTATATTTATGAAATACTAACTAATACATTTGTGCAGGCTTTAATTTTCATTTATTCAAATAATATTTATTGGTAATGGACTTGAACAGTACACAAGTAAATTTGAAATGCTAGGAATCTCGCTGAAGCAGAGTATCACGCAGTTTCTTGTTGTCGTACAAGTTTACGTGTTAGATATTTAGCTTTGCTTGTTTACTGAAAGTTCATAGGAAGGTCGGATTCAAAGTTGCTCACAGTATCTTTTTTCTTTCCCTGGTGAATAAACTTTTTTCCAAATCCTTCGGTTCTCGTTAGAAACAAAAATGTTTAATACAAAAAACATAGAAATTCCGGACTTAAAATTAATTAAGAACCATCGTTAAACATTAAATACTTCAATTACTTCGAGTAGCCCTTTTCCACTGAAAATTTATTCGTTATTCACAGTGATTGAAAGCTTTCGTTAAATGTAAAATATAGTAGGTGAAGCATTTTCCAATTACCCGGAGCAATGTTTATTACAAAAATTGATCGACGAAAAGTAGATTACACTTGTACCAGAGGCAAGCGACGATTTAATACTTATAAACCTTGCAATGAAGTGTTCGCTCCAAAGGAACTCCATGCACATATAATTTTACTTTGAATTCGAAAACGATAATCCGGGAGTCTTTTGGTTCATCCCGATGAATATGCAATAAAAGGACCGTTATTATTCAGCCCGTTCCAACCGCGAAACGGTCAGCATGAAATTCATAAATCTGTTACGTTACCACGATTCTTATTAACAAATGAAAATACGAACAGGGGATTGAATTTTGAACCAAAAATCATCTAGTTTCGTACGTGACAATTATTTAAAACGATCGAAATAATTTCATTTGATCGTCGGTGCAATTTAATCAATGCTTTAGTAATATTGTTTCTCCCTGGATCAACATAAATTTTCATTTACCGGGATGTTTATTGATTTCAATCGAGAGTGGTAACTTTTATTTTCATCGGTTATCTTGTTTGATCAATCTGCAAGCACAGAAATAAATTTCGCTGTTTTTAATAATAAAATTCTTTTTTATTATCTCAGTACGTTTGTTCGGTGTACTTGAAATACAATTGTTGAAAGGAATGATTACTTAACAGATCTCGTTCCATGTACACTCATCGGCTTTTAATACAATCGCTCGCGAATATTCCAGCACGAGTTACTGTTGAATTAATTAATTTGAACGATGACGTATTCGAAGGTGTTATGCAATCGGCTTAGTTATAATACCAATGGTTTTTATTCTAATGACAGCAAGGTGGACCTCGAGTCATTATTCCAACCGTTTGTTAGAAATAATTGCTCTAAAGAAAATTTCATAAAATTTTGCGTGAAATATGATAAATTAAGTGTAGAAGAAATTAGATTTGAAGATTAATTATGAATTTTATTTTGGAAATTTAAAACGGTACAAAGCTTCCATGGGAACAACGACTGTATTGTTTATAATAAAATTCTCATTTATAATTTAGACACAATTGTACATAATTTTTCAATAATCGTTCACATTAATTATTTTTCCACGCTATTAATTATTCATTATTGACTCTAATATTTGCATTTAATTTTTATGTAAAATTCCTTTGAAGCATGAGATTTTCTTTTCCACCCCTTTCTTTACAAATCTGTCTCATTTGTTATCCTCCGTCTTCCGTTAAACAAATTCCGGTACGTTTGAGCGATAGTAATTACTGAGTTACCTCGTTTAATCTGATCTTATTTACATAAAATTTTAATTAATTCCCGGTGATTCGATCATTTGAATTTGATTAGAAATTCATTTCGCGTGTAAATAAATCTCGTCTGATAGGTGTTGAAAAATTTTGCGAATCGGTCGCGTGTCGTTGCGTGCAAACGCTTAAAATTCATTGTAGCGTTTGCATACCGGAAGCTCGTGCTCGCTCTTCCCCATTGTAAATTCAAATGGAACGTCTCGGTAAAAGGTGTCACTGTGCTACCGGAAGCCTACGCATCTTCCAGTGAAAGCTTCTTTCGTATTCCTCGCTTGCCGATTACCGTGTAATTGCCCGTCCGCATACGCTAATGAGCCAAATTCTTCTACGATCTCAAATTCAAAAGTAAATTATTTCAAATCCTACGCGGAATTTTTCAAAAATTTTATTCTTATTATTGGTTTTTGAGAAATAGGATAACTATGAAATGAAAAACAAAATATCTATACATATAAATAAAATTGAAGTGTCTGTCTGTGATTTCGAAATAATGGTTTTTTTTGTAGCTCATATATGGTTTTTCGCACCTTGCTAAAACCCAAACACGCTTTTGCAACATTTTTGTCTTTTTGTCTATCTGTCTGTTTAAACGAGCTAATCTTCGAAACGACTGAACCGATTTTGACGAGACTTTCATTGGCAGATTCAGAATGTATAGAGTAATAATTTAGACTTCTTTTTATTCTGGAAATATTATCAGAGTTCTCGTGTAAATTTAGAAAAACTGTAAAAATCAGGCGCTAATGAGGCAACTTTTTTATAGTCCGTTTATGCAGTTCACGCATTTACACATATACATATAT